TATTTTTGATCCTTCATCTCTCACTACTGTGGAGCAGACCACAGTTATTGCCCTTCAAGGCGCCTTCCAAGAGGCACGAAAGTTTGGTTCTTGGTACGACCCCAAGACTAGGGAGTTATTGCAGAAGAGGCCAAAGAGAGACAAGACAACATATCTCTCTTGGCTAAAAACACTTCTTCAAAGACATGCAACTGATGGTGGGTGACATCACCGAAGGCAATCGCGAATCTATAGTTGGCTCAGGTTACCACAGCAACTTGTATTTTGCCGCTTTTGTCAGCTACTACATCTCTTTCTTTGCTCTCCTGAGTAATCCCGCTAAAAGTATCAATCCATTGGTATTTCTCCTTGCTGTCAAACTTTGCAGTGGCAATCAGATCCCTTTGGCCCCTCTCTTCTTGGGAAATCTATACTTTCGTCTCGATCTTATTCATACGGACATGGAGAGGTCCATGGGCCGTTATGATGTGTGGAGTTTTGTGCACACTCAGTTTCTAATTGCCTTTTTTTTCCTGCCCATGGGTCCCACTCCCAAGGAGTATGAGCCCTTTTATACTAAACAGGTCTTAGATGCAGAGGGTTATCCCATCCTAGATGCAGAGGGATGGGTTGTCACAAGATAGACACACAACTCTTTTCCCTGCATCTCCAGATGGTCTGGCGGCGGTACCAACAGGCCTTTCATAGATTACATTGATCTCTTGGAGGATTGTGTGTTCAACCCTTATACTCAGACTTTCCTAGGTGCTTCAGATGTTCTCTTCTACTCTTTAGAGGTTTGGCACATTGACCATTTTGTTGAGGACATTTCAGCAACTCTTCTAGTGGTTGCCATGATGGGACTTGGATATTTGCTGGTATGGAACAAGGAGGGCATGTGTAGTGTCATCTACTGACCAGATAGAGTTCTTAGGAAATTCGGCATGAATCAAGGCATTCCATACATACGTTTTCCTCAGACAGACTTCTATTTGAGCTTCCGTCAGTTCACCTATGATCATACTCCCCTTCTTGTAGATGGTTTGGGTGTTATAGAGCTTTCTTTGCTTGGGAGAGAAGGTGCTTTCACCCCAAGCAACAGGTTGTATTGGCATCGCAACCTTAATTCCTTGTTCAATTTCTGTAACAGTGACCCAGTGGTCCCTACTATGGAACCTATCTCACAACCTGACTTATCTCTTCGTCTTCCTTCTGGTCGTGGAAAATAGACTAGTTTATTTTGCTGCTTCAAACTACTATCTTTACCTACCGCAGAGGAACCCCCTTTGGCTGAGGCGATGTATGTTCAGCCTTTACAAGTCTCTCCCCCTTACCAGTGCATCAGTAAGAATGACGTATGCTTGGCTAAGGATAGCCTGAGGAACGGTGGCATCAGTTGCTGAGGCCTGTGCCTCGCCATCTAGAAAGAGACTTCGAGCGGTACCAACACCTGACATGTTCTGCATTCTTTTACATGAACTTTTGTCCTCATTCTAATGATTACATTGCCTTATTCTTTTAAGGACTTATTGGTTTCAGGGCGTAGTATTGCTTCGGCCGCCTCATCTTCGGGCCCCGAAGGCACTTTGACCGTTATCGGGCTTTCCTCTGACTCAAATGATGAAGACTACCTTCCTATTGCTTCAAGGGTCACCAGACTTAGAACCTGCAGACTGGTACCTTCAAAGGATGAGGAAGAATCAGTTGCTGGGGCTGAAGCACTTGCTGACGTCGAACAAGTTGCTGAGGCTGAGCCAAACATAGAGACTGAGCCAGTTGCAAAGGGTGGTGATATGGAAGAAGACCATGATATCCCTCCCATTGAAAGTGAACAAGTCTCCCCTGTCGTAGAAGTTGCAGAGGGCAACATGCCTACTGAGGGTGTTGATGCTCCAAACACTGCTGATCTTGTACATTTCGACCATTTATCTGTTGGCGGCGAGGACTTTGTTCCCAAAACTCCAAGAAAGGAGTGTGGAGTAAGGGAGCCGCTCAAAGTTGAGCCACCCCAAACAGAGGCTGGATCAAGGAACTCTTCTCACTTGCTCAGTTCCCTCTAGTTCAGCATACTACAACTTCAAATGTCCCAGTTGCTGAAGAAAATGAAGATGTAGTGGCTGCTCCCAAGGTGGGCCCTCTAAGTTTGGTTCAACTTACAGAGGAAGCTGCCAATGTGACCACTCCTTGTGCTACTGTTCTCGCTGGTACTTTTGACCCAATTGCCTCAGGAACTTTTGAGCAACTTGCTGATCTGTACCCTACTCATTTTCCTGAAGTGCCAGCTAATCTTGGGGTATCACAAGACTTTTATACTGGGATAGACACCACCATTGTGCCATATTTCAACATTGGGGATTATTATATGGACGACCTTTTCTCGAAGCGGTGGGGCGATTGAGGCAGTTTTGGTTTATCTCAGGAGGTCAGCTCGCCTGGCCACCTCCCAACATCCACTCACTCCAATGGTGCTAGGCAGTCATCTTCGAGAGAGGTTTGTTGTCCCCAAAACTTTGGCCGCTCTACTAGTCTTCCTCCTGTAGTTCAAGCTGGCAGCTGTATGAAAGAGTCCTCACAGCTTTCAGCAAGGGTTGCTTTTTTGAGCTATTGGGTCTCCGCTGAAGCTGGTCCTATCCTTGTTCATATTTAGGCATTACACTCTAGCACCTTCACTTCTTTCAATGTGCCAGACCCAATGGTGTAGGCAGTTTCAATCGTGAACTTGCCACAAAGCATATTCTGATAACCTCCAGCAAGTTTGTAGAGAGTGCTGAGGCAAATCTTAGTGGCTTCGAAAGAAATGGCTTGGACTTGTCATAGATGAGGGTTAGGTTCCAAGCAGTTGATGGATTCCTTGAGCATGCGGATAATATGGCCATGATTGCCTCCTTGGAAGAGACCATCGGAGACTGCAAGGGTACCTTAGAGCAGCACCGCCAGAACCTAGCTCAGTTCAAGGAGAAGGACTCCGCTCTTGTCACCCAACTACCTTAAGATGTGACTTTGATGGACTTCCTGATGAAGGGTTTAATTTGATGTATTTGTGACTTTGCTATGATTTCTTCCTCCTCTTTTTCTATTGTTGCGCTTGCGGCACATTTTCCTTTCTTCTTCTTTGTCACAATTTCTTTTCAAACATTATGATCATGTTCTGGAAGTTGACTTTTGTGAAAGTATGGATGTTTCATAGCGTTCTTTGAGTTTCATTTCATTGCTCTCTTTACATTGCTTTTACATAGCTTCTAAATATAAGCAAAACTCTTGCCATGAACAAAAATTCATCATGACTAAGTTTTTACATGGATAAAATTTCACTAAGTATGGAAAACTTTCTTCACACTAAGTGTTTAGAAGAGTAACAGGTTTACTAAGTGTATGATACTTTCTTTACATTTTGCTTTGGAAATATTAACAAGAGAAATTTACAACTCTTTTCTGGACAAAAAGAAATCAAGAGAAGTATTCCTTTACATACATGGCATTGATATGGGCAGTTCTGAACCCGTCATCTACTTTTGTCAACTTGTAATACCCACTGCTTCTTACCTTAGCAACTTTGTAAAGGCCTTTCCATCTTGGTGAGAACTTGGGGATTGGTTACCCCTACATAATTGCGTCCACTGTCTTCGATACCATGTCCCCCTCGTTAAACTCTCTGTGTTGAACAGACTGATTATAGGCGCGAGCTATGGACTAATGATACTTTTCCATTGCCCGCGAGGCCCGATCTCTTTTTTCTTCGGTTGCCTCTATGTCATTCCTCCTGGTATCTGGAACTAAGTGTGCAGACATAGCCATTCTTGCTAAGGGTACTACTAGCTCAATTGGTAACATAGCCTTAGATCCATACACTAGGGAAAATGGGGTTTCCTGGGTTGGCTTCCTCTTTGATGTTCTATATGCCTAAAGTGCTATGGAAAGTTGTTTAGACCATGTGCCCCTTGCTTCATCCATCATTTTACTTAGTATTCAGACGAGGGTTTTGTTAATTGCCTTAGCTTGTCCATTCCCTTGAGGATAATGTGGAGTAAACTTGTGATGCTTAATTTGGTAGGTGTCCAGCAACCTTCCCACATGGCGAGTTACAAGGGAGTTCCATTATCAGACAACATCACTTTGGGTATGCCAAACCTACAGATGATGTTTTCCTCGATGAAGTTGGCCACTCTTACTCCGTCTGCTTTCCTCATTGGTATAGCCTCTACCCACTTGGTGCTAACTTTAGTCACTACAAGTATCCATCTGTGGCCTTTGGATTATTGCACTATAGGACCTACCAAGTCAAATGCCCAAGTATGAAACGGGTAGAGGGTCTTGATGTTATGTAGCTCAACTGCCGGTGCAGATATCAAGTTCCTAAACTTTTGATAGGACTGGCATCTTCTTATAAAGTTTTTAGCATTTTCTTCCATTGTCGCCTAGTAGTAGCCGAGGTGGATAAGGTGTCCATATAGCCACTGCCCTCATTGATGCTTTATCTTGTAGGCTTCCCTCAGCACTTCGTTTGCCTTATTTTTTGATAAACACGCCAAAGGTGACCTTTCAAAGCTTATTTGATATAGCTTGCCTTGGTCAAGAGAGAAGCGGAGGGCCCGCTTCTTAACTCTGATTGCATTAGCTTTGTTCTCAGGCAGTGTGCTATTTCCAAGGTAGTCAATATATGGCTGTCTCCATTATTCACTGCTTAAGAAATAGGCTTCCTCTTTCTTAAGATGGGACTGACATTTTGCACATTGCCTCTGCAACTCAGTACTTTCCTTTTCTATCTCTGGCTAGTAATACCTTTCTTTTTGTAACTGTCAGTATAGATTGATATCTCTGTCTCCACAAGACTTAGCATGGATCTTCTTAAGTCTATAAGCTGCTTCTTCTCTATGGACGCACCTTGCTAACAGGTTGTTGGGACCATAGAAGTATAACTCTCCTCTGAGGAGCATGAATGATGCAAGTTCTGCTGGTCTGATTGTTCCTTGGTCTATTTTCAATTGTTGGATTATATCTGTTTTCCACTCCTCAGCAATTTGTTATGTATGTTCTTCGGCTAACACTTCTGGTGTTATTCTTTTCTTGATGACGATGGCTATACTATCATCTGGTATATCCACATTTGCCCCTAGTGTAGCCAAGGCAACAGGGAAACGGTTGTGTGTTTGAGGGGTATACTGGATTTGGACATCATCAAACTGAGTGAGCAACTTCTGAACAATGGTACGATATGGGGCCAAAAGAGGTTCCTTTAATGCGAAATCACCCAGGGTTTGCTTGACAACTAATTTGGAGCCGTCCCAAATTTTTGGCTTGCAGAGGGCTTTCTTTTGGGCAGCAATCAAACCTAGTATCAGCACCTTATATTTAACTTCATTGTTTGAACATTCAAAGTCAAGCTTATATGATAAATGAAACTTCTTCCCCTCCTGACTAGTGAGTGTTATGCCAGCTCCACCTTTCCCAGCCCCAGAGGCTCCATCAAATTTTATGTCCCAATAGGTCTCAACTGCAGTTGCTGAGATATGGACCTCACCAGGTAAAGGTACCTTTCCAGGTTCATGTTCACCAGATGGAAATTGTGCTAGCAAGTTTGTAAGCGCTTGGCTTTTAATAGCCTTAGGGGTAATGTAATCGTTGTCATATTTTGCTAGAGTCAAGGGCCATCATGCCATTCTTCTATTCAGAGCGGGCTTGCTTAGTAAGTAGCGGGTTGGATCACTTTTGGTCACAACTTGGATTGGGTGTGCCAAAAAATAGTGGCGCAACTTCTGCCCTGTGAAGATTAAGGCCAAACAATGCCTCTTAATTGGGGTATACCGTGATTTAACACCATTGACTTTGTGACTGATGTAATAGACTGGCTTCTCAACACCATTTATGTCTTGGACAAGTAAAGCCCCAATAGACTGAGGTGTAGAGATAAGGTACAGTAGCAGAGGCTTTTTAGGTTGTGGGGCGATCATTGTAAATGGTGAGGTAAGTGTTTTCTTTAACATATCAAATGCTTGTTAGTGTTCTTGTAGCCATTCAAACTTGTGATTCCCTTTCAGCAGTGTCCCAAAGTAGAAGGTTATCTAAGCAAGGGTTGGAATGAACCTCCTGAGATATAACACTTTGCTTAGGAATTTCTTAAAGGCTTTTTTAGAGTGTGGCAGTGGCATCTCTATAATGGACTTGATCTTTTCCTCGTCTACCTTGATACCACGTTGGTGTACCAAGAAACCAAGGAACCTTCCTAGGGTAACTTCAAAGGCACACTTGAGGGGGTTCATCTTTAGACAGAATTTGTGATAACTCTGAAAAACTTTTTCCAAGTTGCAGAGGTGCCAATTTACTTCAGTAGACTTTACTACCAGATCATCCACATACACTTCTACTTTGTGATGTAACATATCGTGGAATACTACATCATAGCCTGTTGATAGGTTGCCCCGCGTTTTTCAAACCGAAAGGCATCACTGTATAGAAAAAATTTCTCAAGGGCGTTTTGAAAGTTGTCTTTTCTGCATCTTCTGGTGCCATTTTTATCTGGTTATAACCACTGAACCCGTCCATGAAAGTGAACATCTAATGGCTTGTAGTAGAATCGACAAGTGTGTCGACATGGGGTAATGAAAATTCATCTTTCGGGCAGGCCTTGTTTAGGTCACGAAAGTCTACGCAAACCCTGATCTGGCCATTATTCTTCTTTATAGGCACAATATTTTCTAGCCAAGTCGGGTACTGTATAGGCTCAATAAACTTGGTCCTCTGTAACTTTTCTACCTTTTTCTTAATCTTTGCTTCAAGGTTGGGGTGGTACTTTCAAGCGTGCTGCTTTATCGGTTTAGAGTTGGAAAAAGTGTCAAGGTGATGAGTGACAAGAGATGGGTCCAGGCCAGGCATCTCGTCATATGTCCAGGTGAAGACATTATTGTACTGCTTCATTAGTGTTATCAATTCTGCCTTAGTTGCTAGAGCCCTTGCATCGCTGATAAACACATGTTTGCTTTGCATTGGCAAGTCACTAAGGTTTACCTCAACAAGTACTTCCTGCTACGGTTTGGGCCTATCTTCTATGCACTTAAGGGCGGGTTCAGGAGTCTCCACCACCCCTTTTTGGGACTCGTTGCCATTGCACGTGTTGGGCTCGAGGCCATCCTACCAGGGTATGAAGTCTGGCCTCCAAGACCATTAGGGGTAGTAAACTATCTTGCCACTTTCACGCACTTTAACAATCTTTGGTAAAGGACTTGTGGACTTGCTGCTCCTCTTTTGCCCACTACTTTCTGAAGCAGCCTCTGCATCTTGAATGTTTTCCCACTTTGGCAACTTTACCCCTACAACTTTGCCAGTCCTTGGGGTTTCATTTGCTGACAACTCAGTAAAGAAGACTACATCAGAATAGTGGGCCTCCTGTACCCCAAATGGCTTTTCAAACACATTTATGGCCACTGTTACCTTCCTAACTTTGCCTTTACACATTGGTGATAACTACGGGATAGCCCCATATCGGTGCAGCCCAGCTCTGCCAAGTATCATGTGGTAATTTGTGTCTGTTTCGATCACATGGAACTTAGTTGCGGAGCGGATCTCGTTAACTGCTAAGTCCACTACAGCATGGCCCTTAGTAACTACCAAAGCCCGTCACAACAATGGGTTGGCAGACCATCCTAGACTCTGGGATACTGGCTTTCGCAAATGTGTCGGTAATAATGATGTTTATGGATGCCCCGCTATCAAGGAAAACATGCATGCATTCTACATCATGGATGTAAGCTGTGATAAAAAGAGGACGGTTATGGGGAAATGGGTATGCTCTGTCTGCTTCTGAAAAGGAAATGGCCCTATAGTCTTCCTGGATACGCCGAGGTACATATTCCTTAGCCTTAACAACTTCAGTATGATGCACTTCAAAAATGTTGATGAGGGCCTTTGTTGCTTCCAACCTGGCAGCTTGCTCAGCCCTAGCTGGTCAAAGAAGGTACGAAACTTAACAGAGTTTTCTAAGGCCTGAGCATGAGTATCCTCTGTGAGTTTTGCCTCTGTAGGTATTGTCTTAAGGAGCTGGCTCGTTGCGATTTCTTTTAACTCATCATACTAGGATGCCATGTGTACTTGATCACGCACAGGCCCAAGATACCCAATCATATGTACATTATTCCCTTTCTCCTTGTGGTTGGGATATAGGTCTTTTCTCACATCATGATTACCGGCATCTTTAAACTTCAGCTCATTCGCAACAACTTTCTTCTTGAAGATACTTTTCAAAGTCCAACAGTCTCTAGTAGGATGCCTAGTGGCTTGGTGGTAGACACAATAATTTGGGCTTTCTTTGTCTTTCTTGGTTGGGGGGACATCAACCGGAGGTAAAGTAAGTTCACCATTGGCTACCCATTCTTTAACCAATGCTTTAATATTCTTGAGATTGCAAGGATATGGGTTTGTGTCCTCTTAACTCTTTCTCTTCCTAGAGGACTACACTTCTCCTTGTGAGCGACTCCCTCCTGCGAAGGTTACCACAGCAACGTTGCTACTATGAGAGTAGTGGTGACTGTTGTGAGATCTATGCAAAGGACTCGTGGTACTAAGGTTCCTAGCCTCTTCAATCAAGGCCAAAATGGTAGGCAGATTATGGTTCACCAAGAAAAATTCGTAGTCGCGTATGGCACCCTCCACACATATGCTGACTAAGTGGGCCTTATCTACTGATTCATGATAGTCAATGGCTTTATCCTGGAACCTCTTAACATAGTCCAGTATATCTTCACCTTCTTTTTGGATGTCTCGCCCAAAAGTCCATTAGTATGCATTGCTTGGCCTATTTGAATGATTTGGCATCATTTGTAATGTGATTTCAGTCCATGTTTCATGTTCATGCACTTGCATTTGTCACTCTTCCAATGCTTTGAAGGGTTGGTCCTTTATGCCTTAAACATAAGCCACTGCGTATGCCATCATGCCTAAGCTTGCGAGCTATCATTTCAGTGTGTTTTTGGAGTTATTTTGCCATGATATAACTCTGATTTTTGTTGGTTAAGTCATCTCATGCTTGGTCCTGATAGGTGTACTGTAATCCTCCCTTTTGGCCTTGTATGCATCATGTCTTATGCCCTTCATGCTAGCTTGTTTTGGCTTCCTGACATGCATGTTTTAGACTCATTTTGACATGTCCTAGGACTTTTTTGGATTGCCTTTGCCATATGCTTCATGTATTGCATAGCTATAGTACAAATGCCAATTCTAGCTTTGTGTTTTGATGCCTCTTGCATGCTATCTTTGAGCTATTTGAATGATTTGGCATCATTTAATACTTGATTTTAGAGCATGTAACATTGTCATATTCTCATGCATATCACTCTTTAATTGTGGTTCAAGGGTTGTGCATTGTTGCTATGTTTGTGGCCTAGCATGTATGCCATCTTGCGTAGACCTTAGAGCACATATCTCAGCATATTTTGGTCTTTGTTTAGACCCATTTGAGCTCTGTCCATGATTGGTTCATGCATTTGTACCATGTATTGCATGCCCCCTTTGTAGTCCTCTTTACTAGCCTTATGCCTTAAGGACTCTAGTATGCTATGCTTGTGTTGATTGAATGATTTGGCATCATTTCATACTTTATTTCAGTGCATATAGTGTGGTTACACTTCCATGTTTGTCACTCCTTGAGCACTCTTGAGGGTTGTGCTCTTAGGCCCAGTTTATGGGCCAATGCATATACATGCCTCGTTTTGCATTTCATGCCTTAGTTTCATCATTATGGCCACTGATTTGGGCATGACTGAGGTCTGTCCATTTTGGTTTAAGTCCATCGAGCATGTTATGTGAATGTTGTTACATTGTATCATGTTGTTGCATGCTTATGTTGCCTTACATTTTGTATGCATGCATTAGCATTGTTTGCATGTTATTGGCTTTGCTAAGTTGATCATGTCACATTGCATTGAGTATTGCCATGTTGTTCTTTGCATTGTGTATGCCATGTCGTTCTTTGCATTGTGTATGCCATGTAGTTGCATTGTGTTTTGCATGCCTTGCATTGCATGTTTGCATGCTTGTTGTTGCTTGCATTGTGTTTGGATTAGGTGTTAGTCCAAACAAGAGAAACGAGGGACGTTTCATACTTGAAGTGATGAAACGTGCCTTAATTCCCGGTCGCCAACACTCTTGATCATACATGATAGAGTTCAATGCTTTATGTGTTTATGTGTGCATTCATTTTACATTGAATTGTGCAATTTGACTTCTCGGCCCTCGTGCATCGAGATTCGTGATTGGTGCCCTGAGGGTCGAGAACCACACTCCCTTGAGCTTATGAAATGATAGGGAGGGTGGTTGTGCACACATATCTTGCAAATACTTTGCCATGCCCTTTCTTGTTCTCTGTTGCAGCAAAAGGGAGATGTGCAACAACAATTGTTCGGCCAACCAGAAAAACTAGCTGGCCGACCACTTTTTCTGGTCTGAAGCAATAGAAAGTGGTCGTCCAGTGGTTGGCAACACCCCTAGGTGGTCGGCCATGCTCCTACAGGTCCCCAAGGTGAGTTAGAAGCTATCTATAGCTGGGTGCAAGGTTCTGAGAACAATTGAAAATAGAGGCAAATCAGGGCATCGCGATGGATTTCCGAACGAGGTGACCGAGCATGCATGCACTCTTCATCCCGATGACCTCTTTTTACTGCTTTCCTTAGCTAGTTTATGCTTTAGTTCTGTACCTAAGTAGTTAATGCATTTAGATGCTTATTTGTGTTGTAATAACTAGTTAGTTAACTTGTTAGTTAATTAGATTTGTTTTGTACTTAATCAGTTAGCTTGTTAGTTAGCTAGTTTTGTTTTGTAATAATTAGTTTAATTAGCTTAGATTAGCTAGTTAGCTTCTTATTTGGACCCTCCATCGAGAGGGCCAACTGTTGTAATAAGCATGCGTGTGTGTGATGCATGTCTTCCAACCACCATTTATTTCTCCCTTTTACTTAACCGCTTACTATGGTTAGTTTTAGGGCATATTTCAATGAGCATCCTTATGTTTTGCATGCGTGCATCCATTCATATGTTTAGCATGCACCGGGATCGGCGCATTATACTAACCTCATTTTATTTCAATACATTTACTTGAATATGTGTTCAACAGCATGTTATCAAGTTGCATTCACATGACATCTTTGAATAGCCGAGCCTATTTTAGTTGCATTTTTGCATGTGTTGCATTAGCCATTTTAACATGAACTAGGATCACGCATGATTTCTAACTAGTTCTCTATTTTGGCTCGGAGTACATTATGAGTGTTTATGCTTTAGCATACTGCATGAGATGTGTAAGTGCTGCCATGTTGGCGTGCTTACCATGAGGCTAACTGCTTATATGATATAACTGCATGAATGGCCATGGATGAAGGTTGGATTGTTTGAATTGGAACAATTCATTGAAATCCGCGATTTAGCCTACTTACGAGTACCAAACTTCAAACCGTTTTCAAACAAACGAACATGAAATGTTTTGTTCCAACTTAGGCGATCTAGTCTATACTTGTATGCTGTGCGCATCACATAGTAATTCTAGGTTAACAACAGGAATAAGAACATATGTGTTTTCAAAAACAACATATCATGCTTAGTAAAGGCCGATCTTTTGATCGGGCTAGCGGGGGTGCTCATTGGATGACCTTCCCCTCTCCTACCCAAGTTCCCGAGCCGAGGCAACCTTGGTGATGACGGACACGTGGCCTTAGGCACGAGTCAGGGTTTCTTAAATTTCCCCAAAGTAAAATATTTAGGTGGCGACTCTATATTTGGCAAAGCAGTCCATGTTTGGCCCTTCTTTGTTAAAATAGATTTTCCAAAATGATTTGCCGGATTTTGACTCTTTGGTGATTTATCGGCCTCACATTTCACCTTGTGAGATTAGATTCAGAATCGTGACACGAGTCCGAACTGTAGTAGCTAAGAACAAAACGATTCGCGCCCTCGCGCGTGGAACCGGGGAATTCTCCGGGGCGGTCTACAGTTTCTGGCGACTCTGCTGGGGATTTAGAGAACTTGACTCGAACTCATGATATCTTGTTTTGTTTACATTTATGTGTCTCTTTGCATTGCATTTGCATTGGTACGCCTAAGACACTGTGTTCGTCGTCAGCTATTCTTGAACGGTTTACCTGAGGCTGTGTGTCATAAGGTTAACCGGTTACGGGCTCTACCACGATGGGAACATGAACCTTGGTTTTCACTGAGGCACCCTTTTTGACCATTCAATCTAGTGCATGTCAGAACCCATAGTGACTATTCCAAACTAGGACAGGTTGCTTACCTGATAATAGGTTGTTTGAAACCGCTGTGTGCGTAGTGAAACCTTAGCTCCTGACAAAATAGGACAGGGAAACCCTACTCCTACATAGGGGTGTTTTGGCTCTCATTTGCTTGCTATGTGCTTTTAGAGTGTGCCTCTACAGGAATGCATGTATCAGTTTGCAAGTCTGGTTATCAGG